GATTGGTACTGGACATATGATCATCCTGAATTCGGCATCATTGTATGTGTTTCAAGAGTCTGAAGAGGACTTGATAGATTGGTACTGGACATATGGGCTAATATCGGACTTATGGACTGGATGTGAACTGGGCTGGCATGTTTTCTCAATATTCAATGACTCTTATATATAAAGTTGTTTTCTTATACACATGTGAGTATCTATGAATTTGTTTCTCTAGTCTACCCAGACTAACACAGCCCTTGATAAGATGGAGTGCACAGTGGCTGCAGCCTAGTAATTGTGAGGATGGCTTTGAACTGGGCTGTGGGTCATTCTGTTGGACACAGGGTTGCTATGGGTTGGAACCGGCTCAAAGGCACCTAACAAAATCAATATGCCAGAGCTACACTGCCCACATGCGTACCCTGGCTTCTTCACTTTCTCTATCTGTATAGCCTTGTCTAAGTGACGACAGCTGTCTTGCCTCAGTTACCTCATCTGTTAAACAGGGACAATTAAACAAAACATGGTGAGGATGTCATGACTCCATTGAACTGCCTTCCCCATCATGACTCCATTGAACTGCCTCCCCCAGGGCACGTTAGCCACCACAAGCAGGTGTCCCCCGTGTCTCACAAAGGAGGCTGAGCAATCCACGTTCAGACCACTTTCAAGCTAAAAATGGTAACCTGGGACTGCTGGAAGTTTGTCATTTCTCAGCAATCACTGACAAAAACCCCATGTGGCAGGGGATGGGGGTCATAAACTGTCTGTCATGATGTGCAGGGAAACTGTGGGAGCAGAAATCAGGAGCAGGCTAGCGGAGCACACAGAGGGCAGGTCACGGAACAGGTGGATGTTGGGTCCGGTGCAGCCTGATCCGGGCAGATGGCATTGGCCACCCACTGGTCAAGTTGTCCTGACTCACCGCTTGGTACCCAAGCCCGCCGGTTGGTTATGATAACCGCTGGCTGCTCTGCGCAGGGAGGAGGAGGCTGCTGCTTCAAGTGGCCGAGGCAGGCTCTAAAAGGTAATGCCGACGAAGAGTGAGGGTGGGCTTGCTTGGCTTTTGTCCGTCTCCAACAGTGGTTACACTTCAACCTGGTAAAGGTTCCATGGGGCTGCTCCCTCTTTCTGTGTCTCTACATTGTGCAGGTTGTCTTCATCCAACACTTACTTTATAATTCCAAAACCACCAAGAACTAGCCTCTTGATTTTTGTATAGCAAGAGCAGGTGACATCACTGGGCATCCTGTCCCAAGACCACAGACTGGTCTACCCTCCCCCATCAAGACACCTCACCAACCCAGCCACCTGCTGCAGAAAAGGCACTTGGAGCAAGGCTGGGTACACAGGTGGTGCTGCGTTTGTTGACGTGTAGGGAGTGCCAGGGCTAGTAAAGGCTTGATTCGGTCCCTGGGTTCCTCCTTCAATCAGGATCCCTGAGCAGAGCAAGCAGGAAGAGGGTAAAGAATCCCAGATTCCTGTGCCTAGTTGAAGTAAATTCTTCTGGTTACTGCTGTCAGGAGAAAAGCCAAAGGCATGGCTCCTGGCACCCTCCCAAGTCAAAAGCATTACCTGAGACCAAGTGAGGGGCTCTCCAGCCCCCCAGACCAGGCATGCCAGACTACACATTCCTGAACAGCCAGGAGCTTTCCTCTCCAGACTGGGGCTGAAATCCACCTGATGTCCCAGGGTCGTTTCCCTCCACTGCCCGATGGAAAGTTCCTCTCCTGCATGCCCAAGGTCACCCCATCCCATTGACATGTGAAACGCCCATCTGCAGAGAGGCTGACAAATGCCCTGGCCCTCCCTTCTGGCCCTCATGATGCCAGAGAATCACTACTCTGACCATAGGTAATCTGCAGACCTCCTTCTGAGAGAAGGGGTGCATGGGAGTGAAATCTCTTAACAATAGCTGAACTCCCAAGTCAGATCTGAACTGAAACAAACAAATGAAAAAACCATCTCAGTGAGATCAAAGTAGACCTCTGTGGTCAAAGAACACCACTCTGAGGCAGTCAGGTGGGCTTGGGCAGGGGAGAGCCAGGGGACCACGTGCAGGCTCTGCAGAAATAGGAGAAGCACGCAGCTGCTCTGGGTGACTCACAGGAGCCCCACCAAGCCCTGGCGCTGATGAGGGCACACCACGGACAGCTCCTTCACCTCCATGTCTGGAATGAGGGAAGGCATACATTAAATATTAATTGATATAGCCATAGAAATTCAAAATTAATGTTTGCTCAAATGAATTAGATTTGGGTTTATTTTGTTTTGCTGTTGTTGTTGTTTGTTCTTTTTTGGTACCATCGCCTTCTCAAGCCCTTAGAGCTTTGCGTGGGCCAATAGAAAAATAGGAGGGCAACATCCAAAGATCTAGAATGTAGAGGATCCAGGGAAAGCGTCCACGTTGAATTAAGGACTTACCAAATGTATATGCTCGGGAGTTGTCCCTACCTCCCATATATAAGCCATGGACAGTTTGGACATGTTATCAGTAGGGACCAGTCCCTAGAGAGGGACATCATGCTTTGTGAAGGAGAGGGACAGTCAAAGGAAGCCCCTCCACAGGATGGACTGAAGCCCTGGTTTCAACCATGGTCTCAGATACGGGGATGGCTGTCAGGATGTCATAGCGCTGGGCAGTCAGAAACAGCTCGATGGCCCCAAACAGCCACAACACACAGACGGGTTTGCCCTGAGCCAGAACTGACGTGACAACAACTGGTTGTTGCAATACACAGAAAACACTAGAACTTTGACACTCCCAACCCTGGAGTACTAAACAGGTGATTGGGGGAGCTGTGAGAGGGCAAATTACCCCCTCGGGGGCTCACATGGACCCTTTAGGGACACTCGTCCTTCCTTGAGACAATGGTGAGCCCAGGTTCTCCCAAGCCTCTCTGCCCCGCCTGCCTTCTGATTGCTGTGATCCACCCTTGACTACTGACTCACTGCTGTCAATGGGCTGTTCTCCATAAGCAAATTTCCCTGACTACATTTAAAAGCAGACCCTCTGCACTCCAACATCCCAGCTGGATGGTTCAGCACAACCCTTGCCTCGCGAAGCCGAGTGGACAGGACTTGATTCAACAGCTTACTGCGGACCTAGATCATCAAGACAAACCCCAGTCATCCGCTGAGTGAACACAGAGCTAAAGGAGCTCCCTTGGAGGCTCTTGAATTTTTCAGAACGTGCGCTCCTCTCAAAATGGCCCGGGGCTGACACGATTTCTCTTCTGCTAATTTTAGTGGTTATTGTGCCCATTTTTAATGGATTTCTGACTCCTTCTTTGCTTCCAGGTCATCCATCACCTCTTGAACAGCTGCCCTTAAGACTCCTCCTCCCTCCCAATACGCTCGGTCCAGTCCTCTCTTGGAGCACAGTGGACAAGAGTTGGCACTGTGGAGGGAGGCTGGCCCAGAGAGCATGCCCAGCTCTGACCCTGAGAAGCTGAACAGCTTTGAACTAGTACCCACTGCCTCGAGCCAGTCCTCAGCGACTTCACAGGGCTAACAGCTTCCCTCACCAGTCCGAGGATCGGAAGAGACGGTGCCTGCATCCTTTTCTCGGTGTGGAGGCCTATTATCAACGCAATAAGCAGCTGATACTCCTAGTGTCTGTGGCCCTTGTGTGTGGAAGAAGAGTAAATCTGCATGAGGCTCCGGATCATTGAAGTTGGCGGATGAGTGAAGTATCCATGGAGGCGCAGGGATAATCTATACGTGCCTGGTTGGACCTAACTACCAGAGAGCCTGTGCCACACGGAGAAGAGCTACATGTGAGCCAGTCTGTAGGAGAAAGCCCTGGCACGCTGCTCCCCCGGGCATCACAGCCTAGGAGTGCAGCCATTCTACTCTGCCCTCGGACTTGAAACTGACCACAGAACACAAGAGTTGCCCCTAGGTTAAGCTGACCAGATTTTAACATTGGTAAAGTGGGACACCATTGATAAAACTCATATCCTGGCGAAATAGCCACATGGCAGCCGAAAACCATATACCCTAGCTTATCGTGCATTCTTTCCAAAAATCTGGACTTTTTAAAAACGCCGTGGGACGCGGAAAAAATTGTTAAAAATGGGGCCTGTCCTGCCGAAAGCGGGACGTCTGGTCACCTTACCCTAGGTGGAGGCCCCATCTTCATCTTCCACATGGGAGACCGGGTTGGCTGTCAGGTCAGTGCCCATGTGCGGTCATCTGTCAGACATCAGGCTGTCGGTGAAGGCCGCTGTGTGACTGGGATTGGGATGCTGACGCTTCCAGACTCGGGTGAACGAGGAAGGCAGACCCACTTCGCAAGATCAGCCGGTGTAAAGCTAAGTTTCATCAGCATGGTCCAATCTCGCAAGCCTTCGTGGGAACAGCGCAGCACTGGGCATGTTTCATTCTGTTGTGCGTGAGCTGTGATACGTCAGGAGCCACCTGGGGGCTTCCTGCTAATCTCATCTTGAGTACATCCTGTCTGGGCGTCAGTAGACACTGTTGCTACTTCCATGTTTTCACACATGAGTACCTCCCCTCCTGACACAGACTGCCAGCTCATCTCATAACAAGGCCATGCCCTGACGCCTCCTCCCTCAGACCGATCCCCATCAGACCTGAAGCTCCCATCGCGTCCTTCCCTGAATCCTCTTGTGTGTGGGTGGGTGGGGGGGGAGAGGGGGGGGGCCTAACAGGGTGTCTCAGGAAAACCAGCCCGGAACCTCATGTCCTGAAAGTCAGCATTGGTCAGCATTGGTGTGTGCACGTGTGTACACACACACACACACACACACACACACAGGAATGCACAGTGCATTTGACTCTAAAGCCTTGTAGAGCAATGAGGAAATTGATTTGCTACCCAGGCGTATTATGTCTACTGATCCAGACAGAAGCATTAGCTTTCAATTATCTGATATGTTTAGCATTATAAACAAACCCTCTGGAGCAATAGCTCCACAGAGCTCAGGCACCAAGCAGCTGGGGAGGAGCTGCACCAGATCACACCAACCGAGCCACCGGCTTCTCCCTCCCCGGTCAACCATGCCATGTGATGCCTGCAGAGTCAGACCCCAGGGCCCAGGCCCTGGCGCAGGTGGGCACAGCAGCACAGCATACTGGGGTAAACTGGGCCAGCATCTGGGCCCCCAAGGGCTATAGAAAGGGAACATTCAGATCAGGTGCTGAGCAGATGGGAGCCGGCAGCATCTGCGGCAGCTTCCGGATCAATTCCGGAGCCCCTGCCAGGAAGGCGCCACGTGGTGCACACCTGCGCTCATCAGGTACAAGAGGCTGCGTCTCCTTGAAAGACAATCAAGGGCACACCCTTGTTACACCACTCACCAGGGGGCCAACAGTTCTCCAGGGAGTCCACCCCTCAGCAATTGTTCCATCTCCCCTGGGAACCACCCAGGCGCTAGCTAGGTATGGCAACCCCAGGATGTTCACACATCATGACCTACCGAGTGACTACCGCCCCAACCTGGAGAGGACAATTAACTCTAACCAGAAGACCCCCGGGAGAAAAGCCAAATGCCATGTGGCCACGGGGCCCCAGCACCCTGCCTCGGCTGCCACTGCCTGCCCCACGGTCCCTTCTCATACCACTGGGCCCCAGCCATACCCAGACCAGCCCTCAACTTGCCAACCTTCCTCCCAAGCAGAGCCTTTGCTCTTGTGGTTCCCTCTGCACGGGATGCTCTTCCATGGCTCCTTGTCATCCCAACAGGCTCAGACCAAAAAGCCCTTCTCCGGAAAGCCAGCCCTGACAGCCACCCCACCACCCCCTTGGAGTCCCCTCCAGTTCTCTGGGGAAGAAGCCAGCTTCTGTCCTTCACAGCACCCCTTTAATGACCCTACGTAAGTATTGGATTCCTTGTTTGTCTCAGGGCTATCTTATTCACCGTGATTCACCTCCCGGGTGGCGCACATAAGGGTACTTCCTCTGGGTCAAGTCTGGGCTCTGGCGGTCATCCAGGTAAGTGTGGCCCTCCTCGCTGCCCAAGGGTTCCCCCCAGGCTTGGACCTCCTCACCCTGCCCCTCCTGAACGACTCAAGTCCCACCACCCCCACAGACACCCTGAAATTGACCTCTGGGCCCAGTGTGGCCAAAGGGTACACCATTCCACATGGCAGGCGGGACAGTCATCCCATCTCAGCAGAACCACTACAAGGCCCAGCACAGGGAGAAGGGGGCCTTGAGGCCATGGCTCCTGCTCTGCCTGCTCTGTGTCAGTGGTGAGGGATGGGGAGGTGGGCAGGGTCCCCTCTGGTAGCCAAGCACTGTGTGGCATCTTTTTATGACTGTGGCTGCACTGGCACAATGCCCAGGAGGTAGAGCTCCAGGGCCAGTGTTCATCGCAGGGACAGGAAGGAGTAGAGAGAAGGGAGGAAAAGAGGGAAGAGAGAGGCAATGAGGGAGGGAGACAGGCTGGCAAGAAGGCAGGAAGTGTGGCCAGCCCAGCATGCTTAGGGCTTAGTACTTAGGGCTCCATCTGCTCCCGTGTGACCCCTCTGCCCTCCGGCCCTCCCCTTCTCCACGGTCTCAGAGCAGTGATTCCCCATCTCTTCCCTGTGCCAACACTCCCTCCACTAGACATTTCTACCAGCATTCAAACAGGTCCCCGCAGAACCCACCGCCAAGGGACAACCAACTCCTTGGCTCGGGTCATCCTCCAGCCCCCTGTCCATGTCTCTTTCTACAGGAGTGTCTGCTCTCCTGGATCCACTGTGATTCTTCATCCCAGTGTGCCTCTCCCTGCCACTCCGTGGAACCGTGTGGCCAGATCACTGTGACTTCCAACAGACTCTTCTCTGTCGCCCAGTCACCCACCCAAACCCTAGGCAGCGTATCTCTAGGGAGCCACCCTCTCCTTCTGGAAACACGCTCTTTTCACTGGCTTCCTGGGTTCCACTCTCCCCCAGGCTTCTTTCAACTCTCCTGGCTAAATCCCCTGAGTCTCTTCACTGGACCCACAGTCTTTGATCACTACAGGTTGCCATCTCCCAGATCTCACCCAGAGTACCCCTACTTCTGCCCATGTGCCTCACCTACAAGCTTGCACACACACACACACACACACACACACACACCGTGTGTTAACAGCCCTGCGTTCACTTCCTGTGGCTGCCGGAGCAAGTGGCCACAACCGGTGGCATACAATAACCGAAGCACTTTCTCTCTGTGC